GCCGCTGCAACCTATCCAAGGCATCAAGTAAAGTACTTGGACGAGCCATCCCAGAGGTGCGACCAATATTCCACGCAGGACCGTACTTGCGTCTATTACAACAAGTACAGTTAATCGGGCGTGAAAAAACGTCATACCTTGTTCAAGACTCCCAGTTTTCGTGAAGCTATTTTGATCATAGTTTCAATTTAGTCCTTCGATAGACTACCTACCTACCTACCTTAATATCACTCACACTCTCAGTGTATTACACTGACTATCCCCTTTCCCATGGAGACCTGAAAACTTGCAAACTAATAGAACTCAATACTACCAAAAAAAACATATTTTGCAGCGGTAATATTCTGTCAGATGTAGGTTATGTGCCAGACAGGAGCTATCCTATCCTATAAATCCCGCTATAAGTATCACACTACCTTTTTTAAAACATCAAACATGATCAAGTCTGTGAAACAGCGCGGTTAGTCATTCTACTTCTTTTAATATTCCTATGGTTTTACTGAATGACAATCTAATGAACATAGACTACTCGTTGGAGCCGCCAACGGTGGGTTTCCAACCGGACCACTCTGGCTCACACCGCTTCTTTTACGCCTCATTATCTTCTATAGCCGACGTAATCAACGGCAAATACTCACTTAATTGGTGGCAATCAGCATAGTTTCTTATTGAAATAATTTACTTATTAAAAATTTTATGTCGATTAATAAAACTGGCGTTAAACTATATAATCTTATTTAATCTAGCTCATCTTTGTTGTATTAATAAAATTGTAATATTTAGGGTGAGGCAACTCGAGCGTATTTATTGTTGAGTTATTATGCGATAAATGAATGTTTTCCTTGGCTTTCCTACAACGAATGTTCCTACAACTGATTTAGTATCTCCAAGCGGCAAAAAAAAGAAGACTAATAAATTACTGAATAAGCCTATGTCTATTACATATATACTTATTTGAATATTTCTGTAAATAAATATTATTGACAGCTGGAGGAGTAGATAATCCTTATTTTATTGACTCTGCAACTGCGTGACAAATAAATAAAGGATTATAGCACGTGTAAATAATTCCGCAAGTAAATCACACAAATGCAAATGGTGTTAATATGATGCATTACCTGTAACACTTAACGTGTACGGGGGTATGGACGGCGCGGCGGCCTAGATCGGGAGCACAGAGGCCATAAATAACCTGAGCCATTCATGAGATGAATTATTACGTCCGAACTGAAATGCCCTTGCGACTTATCCAATGTTAAATGTTTATCGAATAACGTAAGTAGTTAGGTACTCCTTCGCTCTTTTATATTACACGAGCTATCGCACGCGATTTTGAATATGTAAATTGTCATCCATAACCATGAAAAGTTGCCAAGCCGTAATTGATGCATTGCAAAATAAGTTATCAGAAGAATGTACTGTGCTGAGCTTCGTGTGCGAGTACTTAGGACTTATACTTGACCGGTTTTTTGTAAAACCTCACACACGCACTGTGTGATCTGCTAGACAATCTGGTAGTGTTGCCTTAAGCCTATGCAAAATATTGAGTTTGAGCTAGTCGGTGGTTAAGTGGTGTTAAGTACAGTTGTCATTTCATTTAATGCATAACTTTTTACTTTTTTGTCATACTTACTTACAAGGCGAGTCGAAACGCCTGAAAAGTGTGCCACTCTAGCTATCCTAACCTTGCCGGCCTGAACCCAATCACTAGCCAAGGATAAACTCAACAGAAACACAACACCACCAAAAGTTAGTCTTCCCTTCCCTAGAATTGCCATAAATGATCTATCTACCTATTTATAATAAACTTATATGGGTCAGTATTCAACAATAATTAGGTATCTCACATTGGTATTTCAATCGGAGGGAGAAGAAGGAAACCATCGAACCGACGATAATATAATGAGTGTTTAATGACCCTAGCACATGAGTTTTATTAAAGCAAATGACATTCTTAAAAAACAAATTCGAATATAATGACGGAAATAGATAAAAAATGCATGATTTGTCGTCTGCTTTGATGGAATTTTAAATCTACATAGTTGAATAAATTTTGTGTCTGTGATTTAGCAATTTTTGGGGTAGATTAGTTTTCTCTTACATCTGGGTAAATTCTTTAAAAAGCATTCTGCTCGCCACTTTTGTGGCAAAATTTCATTTTGAATTTTTAGAAAGTATAAAATTATTGCTTTCAATAAGACGCAATAATAAGATACACATAGATTTATTATACATAATTTACCGAGATATTTAATTTAGTTTTCTTGTGTCCCCGAAAGTAACGAAACTGACTGGCTGTACCAAAATAATCACACTTTCAACACAAACACAAACTTTCAGCTAAATCCATCCTCTGCTAGTCCGATAATGCATAGAGTTAGGGGGCTATCCATAAATTACGTCACACATTAATAATTACTAAATGTAAATTTGCAAAATATGTGACGTCACACTAGGGAATTTCACAAATGTGACCAACTGTGACAAGGACGGGTGGAGGGGCAAAAATCATGAAATTGGTGTGACGTAATTTATGGATGATCCCTAACTGCAAACATGGAAACTATAGCCAACTCTGACTTCGCACGATTGAAAAAAGTTTTGTTCATGATTAACTGCCCTAAATCACTCTGTTTCTGAAAATAGTTTATTACATATTACTACATTATGTGTGTATATAGTAGAAACATACAAGAGAATAAGCAATCAAATGTTTTAAAGCTAAAATTAATTTCACCGTACCATGGTTAATAATATAATTTTCGTGTGCAAATCGCCACGAAAGTTGTGCCACAAACTTACGATATTTAACATATTCACGTATATATGTCGTATTTATAGACTTATCCTAACTTAATATACATATAAAAATCTCGATGACTAAAGTTATTAATTAAGTATACTGAACTCCGAAAAGTTTTTTTGTCTATGTATAACGTGACCACGAAAGTTGCCTGCTCTTTTTTTTTGAAGAATAACTTACCGATAATTTATTTATAGCACAGCGACCATCAGTGTATTAGTCCTCCAGAAACGCAGGGTGAGTATCGGTGTGGCTAAATCTTGTAGCTACATGTCGGCACTATTTAAAGATGTGAGCCGTTTAAGACACGCATTCACAAAATTGCTAAAACGTGTGAAAATGACAGAATGCACTCTAACATTTCAATTTTCATCACATTTTTTAGCATTATGAAACATTGGTTAAATACCATTATTTTGACATAAAAAACGTAAAGCTTTGCAGACCAAGAAAACCTAACACCAGAAGAACCGCGTTTTGCTCCCGATTCCGACTTTTAAAAGTAATTTTAAAATCTAATATGATAAATATTTAGTATTTAGTAGTAGTCCTGACAAGGAACGCTTATAGTTTCGTATTGTCACCTGTCTGTCCCCGGTTTTGCTTGGAGACTATTAGCACTAGAGAGCTGTAATTTTGGGGATTATCGTTTATAGGTCCTTTAAAATTACTTAGGAGTTCCTAAGACTATTTTTCAATTAAAGGATCCGTTTGCGAAATAATGAACTTTAAAGTGCTAATATTTGTTCGAACTATTGGCTTGAAAAACCTGGAACAATTCATGTTATTCGCTTTTAATGCTTTTCATGAACTTTTAAGGAAAACTATAACGGTTAAGTTAGATTTGTTAGTTTAGGGAGTAATAGTCGTTCAACTTTGGTTAAAGAAAATTTCTTATCTATTGAAAATTCCTTAGAAATAAACATCAATAGTGACATATATGAAGTTATTGTAGCTTAAAACCTTGCATTGCAACAAAAAAAAAACTTTAAAAACCACAATAAAATATTATTATTTCCACAACCGCGACTACCAACGGCAACGGCTTCTGAGTTCCGCTAACGTTACGTTTTTAAAACTTAAGATCGGTGGTTATACCGTTTCATCCCCTTCTCAGGGGATGATCGCTTCAAATGAAGCTTGTAAGACCCTTCTGACCAGAAGCATGAACTACGGGTGTGTTTAAGTCAGTAACAGTCTGACATAACCTTGCAGCTGGTTGTAGGGTATCCATGAGGATTTAACACCCGCACAAAAAAACCGGTGGTAATCATTCGTATTTAAAAAAAAAATATATCAATTGATTTTGAGTTTGAGACGAAATTTGACTTTGATTTAGGCATTTTAGTTCAGATACATAGATTGATATTAATTGTTTTTTTTAATTTCCGATACAGAAAATAAGACTCCTGGGGGCCATTCGCCTAACGGAAATGCTTTGGAAAACGCCAACGCTTACGATTTTATTTTGTTATTTCTAGCCGCCTGAGGTTTTCAAATGCCTCGCGCTCTTTTTTTTCTTTTGCATTGGTAATAATAATATCAAAAAAATGAGCGTGAGGTATTTGAAAACCTTCGGCGGTCAGAAATAACAAAATAAAATCGAAAGCGTTAGCGTTTTTCAAAGCATTTCCGTTAGGCGAATGGCCCCCTTTTTGAAATATATTGTGGTAACTACAGGCAACTACGGATCCCTACACTGCGCGTGGCACGACACGCATTTGACCGGTTTTTTTATCATAATTGTATACAGGTATAAATAAAGAATAAATTGGTATTGATTCTAAGACTATATTAACAGAAGGTTAGGAATAACAAACGTGTGACCGCCTAAAAGGGGTCCTTGAAGAACAACTCATCTATCGACACAATTTAAAAAATAATTCATATGCAAAAGTAACTTTATCTGTGTGTTAGTTACATTTTTACTTATCTAAACTATTGAAATTTTTTTTCAACAATTGCGACAACATAAGTAATTTTCGGAAACTGTTCCTAGGCAATGATGGGCTAAATCATCATCATCATAACCAGCGGATGGACGTTCACTGCTGGATAATAGGCCTCCTCATGGGCTTAGAGAGGTTATGTTTTCAAAATACAACTTATCACCAACGTCAAATGTAAAATAAATAAGTAGAACTAAAACTAAAGGTACTGCATACTTATTATAGGTAGGCACGTAAATATTCCTTACCTCCTCAGTGATCAAATTATCTCCATGAAGCTCTCCCAAGCTTGGTCTTTTCAGCGCTCTCTTTGAGTTCCTGTAGTTCTCCATCCTAGGCAGCGCTTCCCTCGTGAGCTGCGCCAGTGAGCGCTTGCGTCGCCAGCCGGCGTCGTGCAACCACGTGTCGGGCGCGGGCGGCGCCGACGGGGGCGCTGGCGTACCCCGCTCCGGCTCGGCGCTGCGCAGCGGCCGGGTTATCATCATCGCTCCCTTTTGGATGCCGTTCATCTTTATTTCGTTCTCCACCGTGGAGACTGTGAATCTGTGCAATCATTACAAAATCTATAATAATAAATATCACAAATCAAAAAGAAAAATAAGAGTATAGGACAATTTTGAAAGGGGTCAAAGCGAGAATGATTTTATTTTCAAATAGGAAGTAGGTTGGTAATACTTAGGTACGCCTATTGCAATGCAATCAGAAATCTATATGTTCTGTAACTGCAATATCAGTCCTAATTAAGGTAAGTATAACACCCTACGTGTGTAGGGTCAATCGTGTGATTATTTGATTAATTTACAATGTTTTTTGTTTTGTCATACATACGAAAATACTTGGGATAATCTATTATCTACTTAGTCTGAAGGGAGATGAAACCGACTGCTTGCTACTATATTCACGCGGCCTTAGAGCTAAGCACGCGGCAGATCTTTAAATTTTAACTCAAGATTATTTAGTTTCACTTATTAAAGGTAAGCACAAATTCTCGGTAATTCCGCCTGGTGTTTGTTAAGTCAGTTAGGCAAATATTTTTTACTACTTCTGTGAATCCTCGGCGTTTTTTATGGGTAGCATAGCAACCATGCTTATTCCGTATCATAACTAGACGGTTGAGATACCTACCCACCATAGTATCGTTCTAGCGTCGCTCCCGTTGTGTAGCTAGTAGTGCTTAGTAACAACTGTACTACGACTACAAATAAATATCGTTCTTATAACAATGCAATAAGGTGCTATTAAATTGTTTTATATCCGCCAGTTTTTTTAGCAACATCTTTTGGCATTTTAGTATCTTTAAACTAGTTAACGAAACACAAATGATTTGTAGAAAATTGTGTTGCAGTGACAGTCAGTACTTTAATTGGAATAATTATTAATAGCTATATATATATAACTGGTAATCGGCCTTCATCTAGCAATCGGCCACACACATGGGTAATTTACCTGTTCCCTTCCATAGGCGGTGTCAATTGACTACCTCAGACTGGATGTAAAGGATACCACTCTCAGCAGTCGTTTCTTGATATTAAGGGGTTGCCTAAACCTCATAATTATTTCAGTTGTACACCTGAAACAAAACAATAATTTACTCGAAACGTCGTCCAGTGTGACGAAATCATCGAATGAATAAAGTTAAATAAAACAACTTTAAAACAAAAGTCCTACAAAAAAGTATTGCTTAGATTTATCCCAATTCAATATCTCCAATTTTTATCCCAATTTTATCATAGTAATAAACTATGATAAAATTGGGATAAAAATTGGAGGCCACTCTATTATTCACCTAAACTTAAGTTAAAGAAATACAAGTGAAAGATAAAAAGATCCATTTTTTTAAACAGTTTTATTGCTTAAAGTTAAAAATAATTTCAAACTGATAAAAATAAACCATATTTGAATCATAGGTTTTCACGCACATCACTCCTTAAATAAAACTAGTTTTAACGGGTTAAGGCACGAACTTTATTTATTTATTGACGTTTCGCAGCCTTTTCAGGTATGCATTGTCAGAATAAGGCTGCGACTGCGAACGTCAATCTTTATATATATAATTCTTCTGTGAGTGTGTATGTCACTGAACTTCTCTTAAACGACTGGACCGATTTTGATGAAATTTTTTGTGTGTGTTCAAGGGGATCTGAGAATGGTTTAGATTCACAATTTTGTCCGCTGGACAACCCCTATTTTTTAGGGCGGTATGAAGTTCGCTGGGTCAGCTAGTAAATAAATAAAGTTCGTGCAATAACCGGTTAAAACTAGTTTTATTAAAAAATAAACCATTTCATAAGTACATTATACCCCATTTTCTTATAAAAACGCGTTAGAATAATAATGTACGCCTTTTTCATTTTTCTTGCCGACAAAATGTAATGTGTAACACGCTTAGATGGTATATTTTTATCAGACTTAATTATTTTTTTTTCAGCTTTTCAGTATTTATCATTCGGAATTTACTACATTTCGCCTTCCTCTATCGTCGTATACTTTATGTAGCAGTTTATTTTTCATTAATTATGTTGTTCTCACAAGTATATGACTTAAACGCTTCATCCAACTAGAGTTGCATATGAATATTATCTCTCTGTCTGTCCGTCCCCGGTTTTGCTTGGAGACTATTAGCACTTAAGAACTGTAATTTTGTGAAGATATGAATATCAATCACGCCGACAAAATAGTAGACTACAATTTTGAAAATTATTTTTTAGGGTAGCTCCCTTACATGTAACCTGGGACTGATTTTTTTTCATTATCCACCTCATCGTGTGGGATATCGTTGAATTAGTTCTTTATAATTACTTAGGGGTATCTTCGACTTGTTTTCGATTTAGGGATCCGTTTGCGAAATATTGAACTTTAAAGTGCTAATATTTGTTCGAGCAAGGGGGCCCTCCCCCACTCTCAAAGCTAAACTATTGGCTTGGAAAAATTATGATAGTAGGTAGTGCCTTTCATGAACTTTTCAGGAAAACTATAATGGTTAAGATAAATTTGTTAGTTTAAGAGTAAAAAATATTCGTTCAAATATGATTAAAGAAAAATTCTTATCTATTAAGAATTACTTAGAAGAAAACATTAATAGTGATATAGATGAAGTTATTATAGCGTAAAACCTTGCATATCAAATGGATAAAATTAAAAAAAAACTATTTAAATACCATAATAAAATATCATAATAGTTCCACAATGCTGCCGTTGGTACTCGCGGTTACGTTGTGGAATAATACCGCATTGATTTAATAGCTACTTAAATGTGACTTTTTTCTGAAATACTATAGAAAAAATTAAGCATTTATTTGGCATAATTTCATCATCAGCCTATTAATGTCTCCACTGCTGGGGCACAGGCCTTCCCTATGAATGGAATATGGAGATTGGGCCATGATCCACCACGCGAGCCCAGTGCGGATTAACGACTGCAGATGCAGCCGGGACCAACGGCTTAGCGTGCCTTCCGAAGCACGGAGGAGCTCGAGATACTAAATTTTTGGTCACCCATCCAATGACCGACCACTACGAAAGTTGCTTAACTTCAACGATCGCAGCCGAACGCGCCATCGAACTCCTCCTGGTCCATTTAACACATTATAATTTTACTATGTATTTGACGTTACATTGACTTATAAAGAAGCTTAACAGGGCTTTCAAAGTTAATTAATAGGTACTCTGAATTTACCGTAACTCGAGCTAATTTGCAAACTCAATCCTGCATCCGGAAGTCCAACAAGTAGGTTAAAATATAGAAATTATATACTGATTACTGTACCCCTAGCACGCACTAGTATCGAATTCGAATAGTTTGCGAGTGCGAAATGTCAATGTCATATTTTGTATGAAAATTTGAACAGTAACACCACAACGGACGTAACGAGAACTAAAAATCAGTACACATTTGACAATGACATTTCGCACTCGCAAACGATTAGAATTCGATATTGGTTTGTACTAAGAGTACTGTTACTTGGTATAAATAATATTGATAATCTGACATTGAATGATAATTGCCACATGTATATTCTAATTCCGAACAATTAAAGCAATACTGAAATCTCATTGTTATCTATGTATTACTACTATATACTGTGTTTAAACTACATCCTATATCTATGGTTAAAGCAAATACTGCAATTCATTTGAGCTGCTAAGTGATAAAACTTCCTTACTGAAGGTGTTTGTTACACGATAGTTACACGTGTGATAAAATGTAATGCCATGCAGTGACGGGAGGTAAAAAACCGCGGATTTTCCTGTCCACTTTGGAACGCATCCATAACAGTAATCTGATTTGTCCTTACTCAGGGAGGGGTAATATAGGGGTCAGGGTAGGCAACGAATCAAGCGTTCCGTTCGGTACTCAGGGTTACGTCGTTGCAAAGTTTTACTAATTTCCTATGGTGATTAATAAATATATAATTATGTTATTATATTTAAGCATTTAACTGCTAAATTTTTAAATCTAAAGAAAAGTTTTACTAGAAAAAAAATCCACGCGGACCAGGCAGCGGACGGGACTCGAACCGGCACCCTTCGCAATGCGGGCGAATGCACTGACCAATTATGCTACCACGGCCCTGATGGCCGCGTCGAAATTTTCCTAGCCTTAAGCTGCAAGGCAGTTCACATATGGAGTGTTTTTATCCGATTTTCTATAATTTTTCATCAATGCTCTACTCTTCTGGTTGTAGCGTAATGTTATTTAGCCTTCCTCGATAAATGCACTATCCAACACAAAAAGTTTTTATCTAATCGAACCAGTATTTCCTGAGACAAGCGTGTTCAACGAAAAAAGTGCATAAATACAAGCCTGAGAACAAAAACTATAGTCTACACTACAGCTGTACACCGAAGCGAAGCGAGGGCGGCCCACTAGTGTAGAGATAAAGACGATAACTATACCTATTATATATGATAACTAGATCTACGATAAGTAAACCTGTACCTACTTAACCATGCTTCAGCCTTGCTTCAACCTCAACTGTCATTCGTAGCACGGGAAAACCTGTGGAAAACGCCTTTTTAAACCCGAGCTTCATATTTATTTATTCATAAATTATAATTTAAAAGGAGTTTTATGTTAGAGAATTTGCTCATTCAATTGTTACAAGTGTGTCCGTTTCAAAATGTTTCCTCTATTTTTTACTGCCAATTTAGTGCCTTCTTATCTATACAAATGTTTATCAATGAAATTCTATTTTTAAAATATCTGATTTAATTTGCTTATATTTAAATGCTATTAACATAACCGGACATTTGTAAATAGCGATAAAAAACAAGATTTTCGTGCAAGTAGATCCCGAGTTGGCTTGGCATAAATGTATAGCCAAATAAAAAAACTCGTTGTTGAGTCATCGTATTCGCTAACGGCCCACACTCGAGCTTGAGCTTTGCAAGCAGTGTTGCCAGATCGTACACCTTTTTCGCTTTTTCTCCCGCCTTTTGACAATAGCTCCGCTTTCCGCTTTAACCTCACCAATGCGGTTCAGCTTTTTTCAAATCTACTAGAACAACCTCTACTTTTCTCACTCACATGATAGGTACTATGCATTCCTTACTTTTTTTTATATATGTTTATGAAATAAGAAATGAAATTTCTCTAATTGCAATTCGTAATAACCGTTTTTTTTGTTGGAAAATCCGCGTTTACCCGCGCGTTGGGATACGCGTTTTTTATTTCGTCATCTGGCAGCACTGCTTGCGAGCAAGTTCTGATCGCGAATGTCCGTTGGCTCGCGGCTGTGCTGTGATAACCACCGGATGCCACCGGTTCTTGGCGGATATGGGAAGTTCAAACCGCTTCGTATTTGAGCTAGGGCTGCTACGGCTACGAGAAACTTTATCACACGTAACGTTTGAAGCGCACGGCTCGGGCGCGGCTATAGATGTAAAACAACTGATTTAAAACGTTTTAAACCCTAAATAAATCGTTTTAAACGGTTGAAAACTGGCATACAAAAATAAAAGAACTATGTATTTTACACTTCATTATGGTCAATTTTTGATCACCTGACGTCATGTTTCGTTTTTTGCGTTGGCAACGTTTGCGTCAAGTAACGACGAGTGACATCAACGAAAGTGCGAGAGTGTGAGTTTGGTTTTAAACCGAATCAAATTGATTTAAATCGTTTGAAAACAATGATTTTTTTTTATTTACCAACACAGAGTTTTTAACTTATCATAAGAGTTTTTATCACTTAGGTAGGTAATACCTATGCTTGGTCGCGGATGGACCAACTAGAACTAAATTCGCTGAGAATATAATATATCTAATATACTTACATATAACACATTTAAAAAATCTTGATACAGTTTATAGGTACTCCGTTATATTCCTACCTCGGTAAAATCAAGACAATGTAGTTATAATGGAGAAAAACATAGTCATCAACACCAACCGTTTTAAATCGAAAAAAATGGTTTATTTCGGTTTTAAACGGTTTTTTTCGTTTTAAACAGATTGGTTTTAAACCGGCCTTACATCTTTAGGCGCGGCGCATCTAATCGATAACTGATAATGCCAAAGATTATTTAATGTCGAATGATATTTAAAAACACTTCACACTCGTACCTTAT